TTTGTGAGTCAATGAAGGATCCTCTTTGCTTGATATCATTTGCGACAAAACTTGATCGACCGCCAGTAATCTGGAATTCTCAACTAATGATATCTCCGTAAAGAAAAGGGTCTATTTAAAGAACATCTGATAACGGGCTATCATCACTCAGAACATCTCCACAGCATCATCTTTGATTGTCTAACATTTGGATTTTTGATGTGTATTTATTCCTAAGAAAAACAGCAAAAGTTTGAGACTTCCAATTAAAGGCATAAGCACCGTCTTTAACTGAATACCATTTGCATTGCCCTGTTAGTCCTGTATCAAATTTCGTGTGTAGGAAGCTGTTATTTGTTCTAGAAAGGAGAGGAGAGTTGGAATTACTACAACTTTATCAAAGAAGGAATGAAGCTTTCGATTTCTGTTGTGTCAGAGAATGATTTTAAGCTGTTTCAGTTTCATACTCTCACTCAGCTAAACAGCGGGAAAAAAACCCAAACTCGGCTAAACAGCGGAGAACACTTAAAGACTACAAACTTGGAATACGGAAAAAACTTTTCAGTTCAACATTTCTCGGGATAGGGTGTTTGACACAAGAAGGAGGAGAGCCTGGCGTCAGCGGGCGATCCGAGTGGTAATAGACAAGGTGGGAGTTCGAAAAATTAGTGCGTCCGAAGATGCACGCGACAAATGGAGCCATGGAGTCCGTGACGACTCGGGCGTCTATTATTTTGACACAAACTTGAAATAGAGTAGATTGGTAGGGTCACTGATACTACTGATCTACTCTACTTCAAACATATACCTCACTGGGAGGCGCCAGGGTCGTTCGAATAGTCGCGAACTTCGCCGTACAGTTTGCAGCGTGCATATCCGGGCCCTCTAAGGCACGGGTACGTGACATTACGTGCGCCCGAGGATGCGCGCGGCAAACTGCGCGGCAAAGTTTGTAGCTGTTTAAACGACTTCAGCGCCTATCATTGGGGCCCAAATTTGAAGTAGAGTACATTGAAAGAATCATCTGACCCTACTAAACTAACTTCGAGTTCGTGCCCCGAAAATTGTCGTCAGAGTCATACAAATCGTCACGAACTTCGCCGCATAAGTTGCCGTGCGCGTCCTCGGACGCACGTAGTGCTCGCCACCTAATGCACCCATACCCGATAAGCTGCACGCAATTGCAGACGTTGCGGACAGCTCGCTCAAGCACCTCTTCCACGCCATTCTTTCCATCACAATCTCATCCGACTAATTGTAAGTATTTTACTACTTTTATGAGGATTTGCATTTTTGTAAAACGCCGTTTTCCGCGTTTTCTTCGTTATCTTTGCACTACTCTGGATATAACCATGATCAGTCAAAAATCGGATACCTCGGAATCATCGTTAACTGTGCCTAAGAATGTGCTCGCAAGCAAATGCATTGCTTGTTGTTGGTATATTACCGCCAACATTGTCCGTGACTGCCGCGAAAAGCGGAGGCTATCGGAAGAAAATGTTTACAATTGAATGATGCTAGTAACAGGTGTAAGTAGCTCCCAGACGGAGGTGGAACCTACATGATTTTTGGATTTTCGCCTGCGAAGTGAGAACGAGGAAACTGAGTTGCGGTACGGAGTATGGATAGAGTAGAGTCCTGGTAGTATGGATAAACNCACTGAGCGAATTCAGCGAACATTTCAGTTTGAAGCGCGCCCAAAAGTTGCAAAAATATCGAAAGAACACCCAGACAACACATCACATACTCCATCCGGTCCATTTCACTGTGTCTATGAAACCTGTTTGTAACCACATTGCGTTACAGAACGTTATGATCACCTTTTTCCTTCGTAACAGAATCCACCGCTATTCTTCTCGTCAACAAAACATTTCTTAACACAGCCGCCGAACTTCATTGCCGATTCGGCAATGGGTCTGAAATAAAATCGAGAAAGACGAAAAAAGTAGATGGAATGGTCATTTATCATTCGTCCTACCGTAGGCCTGAAAGCGAAGCATTACTGATCATTTCGGCGCGAGCAGAGATAATACGTTGTTCGCCCACGTTGAACATCCTCCGTAGGTCAACCTTTGGGATTTGTGGTCCTTCCCGTGTATTGACACAACTGGAAAGTTCATATTTCATAAATACATTATGTTTGTTATGTGCTTAGAACTGTAGCTGTGCAACTTGGGTAAAACTCATCCAAGCAGATGCTGATGTTACCCCACCTCTTTCACAAGTGGGAATTTTCGAAATAGGAGGTTGACAGTGGAAAAGGGAACAGGAATGGTTCCTCGTGATATGAAGCTTGTAGAAACAAATATTGCAAGGGAAACTACATTGCCAGACCGTTGTCAAGCGAATCGAACTGTTTTCGATGGTGAATGGCATCANTTGGATGGTATAGCAAATGGAACGAGATCTTTCAGCAGCATATATCTTGATGTTCATCACTAAGATGCCTTCTGTTGAAATTGGGCCGGTTTCAACACAAAAAGTTGTTATATGTGTCACCTTCACCATCGAGTGTTTTTCCATGATGACATTCGAAAACGAAGGTGAAAGATGGTAGTCTGTTTGCTAAGGAATCTGGCCGCACGGTGATACAGATCTTTTCATTCAGTAGACCAGCTCTTGACGAGTCGCTCTTGCAGTTTATGATCAGCGCTAACATATATGAGCGGGACGGCGAGGAGACTGGAGGTCCCCACAATTCCGGAAATTATCCCCCTTAACTACTGACAATACAGGTCACTGTTATGAGAGTAGCATTGCGATAGAGTAATGGTGGAGGGGGTTGGTACCATTTCACGTTAGGTTCGTCGCCGCGTTAATCACCGTAGTGACGGGAATGCTCAGTTTCTCGAGCTCGGAAGTTCTTAGTCATAAGGAACTGAAAAGATTATGAAGAGCCTAATGATCAAGATCGACCGATAAAAATTGGGTTAGTGGATGTGTTAGTGGATTTATTTGAACTGCAGGGTGCCAATTTTTTTTCAATGATTTAGAATGTCCTGTATAATAATAACTATAATAGGTTCATCGAATAGCGGAGTGATAACTGCAACTAAACTTCCTCTTACCTGTCAAGATTATTGCTGATACACTTGATAAAGTTACCAATCACTGGCATTTTGGTCGTGATGCATGAATGCAAAGACTGCGGATTTGATGTGATCTAGGAAAAAAGTAGAAGCTATACTGAAGGCATTACAAGTTGCCAGTAGATCGTTACCTGCGAAAACACTGTCCAACATCCATCAGCACATTCAACCACCTGAAATTAAAAGCGTTGTTGGAAGGCTTTTAGATCTACCATGTCTCAAAAATTGATGATGCATGTGATAGCATGACGCCTACTGTTACTGACCTTGAGCTGTTGCGCCCTTTACCAATACAGCTTTTTTTAAAATAGTCGAAACATTAACGTCACTTTGGCCAGTACGACTTGTCACTTCGTTAAATGTCAGCTTGATGACTCGCCGAAGTGTTACAGATTGGGAACAATTGAACAGAAAAGATCGATATTACTGCTACTTCCTCTTTGGCCAGTGTTTCACGAATTTCTCTGACGGCAAGTGAAGAAAAGCTTCGAATACAAATATTCAATCCAGGCTTTCAGTCCGTTCCCTGAGTGGACACCGACGCTAGCGTTAAGGGGGAGCATGGTTGGTCGTTTTAAAACGAAACAATGGATCGAGACGTCAGTTCATTAAGTCGTATAGAAGTATCAATCGCTCTGATGCGACCCCGGAGGCTTCGCACTAACACAGTGATAAGTGACCAAGAATATAAATTTGATAGAAGGAACCCAGTCGCTACAGGCTCACAATTTAAAAGAACATAAACAAAAGTTGATAATGAGCAGCGAGTGTATGCGAAGGAAAGAGTTCTTAATCAGTCGACTAGTCACAAGGAGGTAAGTTATGCACCGCATATGTTCAAAGGACACGATCAAGTGGGCAAAAGATTCTTGATATGTGGAACTGCCACAAACTTCTCTATCATCCCAAATCCTGTGCTGTGTTGTATTGGTAAACAAAAGTGACCACGGGAAAGATGAACCGGAGAGTAAAAAGAAGTGAACCGCATGGAAGGAGTCATGTCACAACTGACCAAAGTTGTTTATTCTGGAGGGGGATTCGGAGAAGAGAGACTACGGTTTTGATATGCCCTTTCAAGTCGAAAAGCGGAATTATCGGCTGGGAGTAGTGCATCGGTGGTGAAGGGAGCGAAAAAGTTAGTCGATTTTGCGCAAATAATGTTCCTCAAAAGTTCAAAAAAAGGTTGTACGAAATACCATTACGGAAATGACATTGAAGGGATAGTCGGACGAGATTTTAGTTTTTGCATTTGCGTAAATAGCCGACTGCAAAATCGTTCAAAACTGTCTTCCGCTGTTGCCATGGGTCATTGCAAGTTGTTCGAACTTCCAACAGGGGTTTCTTTTTGGATGATGCAGCCTCTATAGTGCCGCTGAAACTCGTCCGCGCGTACATATGGTCAATCTTCGAGCCTTTATCACGCCCTATCTTGGCCGTTTTCCGATTTTATAGCGCCATATGTACAGTGTACGAGGGGCCACTGATTCATCCTGGCAAGATATCTCATAAGTCGTTTTTATCGTGAACTGTGCCTTTGAACACTTATCATACTAGCTGGGCTGTTGTGTTAAATGCCATCAGTCAAGTAAAAATTGGAACTAGTCTTATATGAAAAAAATCCCTCGCCATCGCGCGAAAGTTATTATGACGAAGATGACTACTGACAAGCCCAGAAAGGCAGTGTCAGTAGTGTTGATAATGCAGTCTCCGAATTTCTCATCAAATGTCATAATGACGCCATTTTTTGGTTTTAAGTCTGGATGAATTATTCACATTCCGGCTGTATTCACAAAGTGAGAGCGTTGCATTCCGACTGGTTCGCCGAAGATCTATATAATTTTAAAAACTGAAAGTGCAGTTATTTTTTTGGGTTGATGTGGTACATAAGAGGCTTAACATAGCTAGCAACNTGAGGTGGCGCCCTTCCTCCCAAAGACCCCAGATATCCCACCTTGTATGACTCCAGAATAGATTGGCTGAAATTAGNGCCGGAGATCTATATAATTTCAAAAACTGAAAGTGCAGTTATTCTTTTGGGTTGATGTGGTACATAAGAGGCTTAACATAGCTAGCAACCTTCCCCAGTCGGAGAGGGACCTCTCTTCACTCTCTTTGAGGCTCCAGCCAACACGGGTCGATCGGTGTTGATCGTTTTTTTAGTCAGTCTCAGCTTTCTGTCAACCAAACGGCCAACATTATTTCACTGGGTATACGTACCTTAATTTTGAATCGCGCCATGGAAAAAAATGTTAGCGTTCGCTTTGTAGCTCTTTTACCAGCAGATTCTTACCAGTGTTAGACAAGTAAAGGCAAGACCTCTGAGCTTTGCTCTTCAGACATTCCTACTTTTTAGCAGGAAGCTATATTTTGCACAAACGAGATTCACTGTTGCGTCATATTCCAAGGAATCTCCTACAATGTTTAGGATCAAACTCTGATGACAATGTGCTTGTACAGAGCAACAAGCAAGTTAGCCCAAATACAAGCGTTAAAGATAGATTGTGCCTAAACCTTGTGCAGCTCTGAGGATGTAATATTTGGTGAATCCCATGTCTGGGAACTCCTAGTCCCCCTTCGGCACCCAATAGCGTTCCTCATCATTCAAATAATCCTAATCGTTTGACATGACTTATACACCCTTAAATAAAGCTGCAGCTTCAATTTCGATTGCATGGCGATCGTCTGTCAGTTTTAGCTGACAGGATCAGATGAGGTGGCGCCCTTCCTCCCAAAGACCCCAGATATCCTACCTTGTATGACTCCAGAATAGATTGGCTGAAATTAGTTTTGGTGGGAAGAATAACACTATGTACTGCTCTCTGACTTCTGTCACTAATGCATGAGCTGAATGTATACTCAGAACGACTGTCGAATAAGCGACTTTCTTTAGGAGGCCTTGTGTGATAGAATGATCATAATAAGTTTAAGAAAAAAAGAGAATTGCGAATGTGGACGGTACTGTTTTCACTCTTCTGAATTGATCGCAATTACACCTAGAGCTCCCCTACTCCTTTTTCAAGCATAGTGTCCCTATCCCTTTTTCAAGTATAGTACTGTCACAGTTCAAAATCTGTTACGATCCCTTAAAATTCAAAATTTCAAAATCTAGACAGAGAGTAAGATGGACACGAAAATATCTAGATGACCACAATACCTGCCCTTCCATTTTCTTAACGCATTCAGCATCTTCATCACAACTACATTCACGAATGGTCTGCCCAAGTTTCGCCTCTTTCAGCACATCCATTGCGGCTTCAACAATCTGAATGAAAGTTGTATTCCTGTTTGAAATATCGTCCAAAATTTTGAAGTCATATAATCTGCTGCTGCAGACTACGCACGATCACACAAGATGCGGAATGATGGCAACTGAAAGGTTACTTATAACAATGACTTTTCGCTGATGCTGCGTTCAAGCGATGCCCTTTTTCACTGATTCATACTGTGCTGGTGGTTCAGTGGTTTTCTTATAACTCCGATGGTAACGGAGTAAAATACAACAAGTAATATAATAAGTGCGGACGTTACCGCAATGAAAACGTAGAATAATGGCAAATAATACTTTATCTTATAACACAACCTACGTCTTGCCCTGGACGTTGTTTTTGGAAGAAGTGGGGACCACGCTTTTTGGTGGTCCTGCTTGACCCCGTATCATTCAGGAGCGTGGGTTAAGCTAGAGGGAGTCGTCTCAGACAGTGAGACGACGAGATAGTAGTTAAGGTGAGGTGATCGTCGCCTTAGACGACGATACATACCTTAACATTTTCGTTTCTTGCTTGCATCACCACAACATGCAAAAACCTTCCCGAGGACGCAAAAAATTATGCGGACGGAACGCATAACAGAGGGCGCCACTTCTTCATCTTTGCAGAGTTAACGAAGAAGGCTCAGCCTAACAATTTTCATCAGGATGATGCATAATTACTGCGGATTTTTCTAGTAAATTTTACTTA